TTCCTGCAATTGCATAAAGTAATGCAAGATGCACAAAAAAAGGCAACATACTGGATTTTTTTTTTTTTAAATTGTCAAATTGGAATAAAGCAACCTGATTGTATTTACTATATGCTATATGGGAAAGAAAATACTTTAACAATTAAGTAAGGACCCATTAAAAAAAAAACCAACCCCCCCCCAACAGCATTCAGGAAATGAATTTTATTTATGTTTCAAAAAGGCCCATAACATGCCTCCAAATTCTATTATCGAAAGAAGCAAGTTTCACAGGAAAGGGTATCCCATCTAGGCCTCTGAAGGAAACTGAATTATTAGCCTATGGTTCAGTGACAACTTTTCAGTGACAACTTTTAGCTGTCAAAAAAAAAAAAAAAAAAAAAAAAAAAAAAAAAAAAAAAAAAAAAAAAAAAAAAAAAAAAAAAACCAGCCTGTCAGCAGCAGTCCCAAGTTTATGTTGGCTGACAACACTGTCAGAAATTCTAAATTATTTTAAATAACTCCTAAAAACAGGGCTAAAAAAAAGTAAACAAACACACAGATAGTACAAAATTTCACTGAATTGTTGTATTTCCAAATCAGTAAGCAGAAAAGCATTTCTGTAAAGCTCATTTAATCATCACCCAAAATTAATTTCCCTATCCATTTTTCTCCCACAGAAGTTTTTTCAAATATTAACACCAAAAACATTTCAGATTTTGTATTTGAGAATTTACTGGTACCATGAAGTTTGGAAGAATGATTTGTATTGCTTCAAAACCCATCATGTAAGAAAAATTAAGCACTCCTGTCTTTTTTTACTGAACCCTAAAGTATGAGCACTGTTCAAACATGCTGTGAGTTTTTCCTGTTGTGCTTTCAGACTGTAATGCCACACTGAATTATCAATTCATTTTCTTTGCTGATAACTAAATTTCAATTTCCAAGTCTTGGTTTCTTTTTAAACAGAATTACACACCACCCCCACCCCACCCCCAAAAAAAAAAAAAACAGAGAAATTACCACATGCTATTTTAGAAAATTAGACTTGCTGCAAATGGCTCAGAAGAACAATATTAAGCTGTAAGTCAAAAAAAATGCTACTAACCCTGTGCCATGCATGTTTTCCACTTGTTGAAGGCTAGATTCAATAACTGGTGTCAGAGCTTCAAATTCTTCTACATGCAACATTCTGCACATACCCCAGATTTTTTTAAGGGCAACTAACGCATAAAGTCGAACACTGAAATTATGGTTGAAACACCACTGTAGAACAACTACGAGGGCTTTCTCAAAGCTGGCTTCTAAAAAAAAAAAAACAAAGATAAAGAATTTTCTTTCATTTACATTAAGTCTTAACATACCATTTAGAAGTAGAAAAGCAAGAGCGGCCCAAGAAACAGTGGCTTCCTCAAAAACCAGCCTTTCAGAAAGTCCAAAGCTTTAACAGTACATGTATGTGCAAATACAGGCTTCAGAACACGGTCCTGATTTCCGTTCTTCCTCCACACTAGGGCAGGGACCTACAGCCCCACTTGTATTTTGAAAATTATTAATTTGCTTTAAAAATTGTATTTCTGCATACAAGGAAACCTCTATTAACTTCTGATTTTCTAGCACTTTAGAAAGCTGATTTTGCAATGTATGCAAACAGTAAAAAAAAAAATAACAGAAATGCCTGGATTGCTACAGATGTGAAATAGTTGACCTAATGTAACATCTGACTGTATTTCATCCTCTATTTTAAAGTTCTATAAAAATACTGAGAATTCCAAATAAAGAATTCTAAATGTAATATGGACTAGATATTGCCAAAGAACTCCATATTTGAGTGCTGTTATTCTATAGAAAGATCACCTTCTTCCAGGTTATCTCTGCCCAATTTCATGCAGATTAAACAAGAGCCGCAAGAAAAGCAAACCCAGGTGCATCCACGTATTTAGTTAAAACTGGAGTAGCTATTCTAGAAAAACTCACAGGTAATAAGGCCCTATGTATCCAGAATATCTGCCATTTAGCTAATTTACAGAAGTCCAATATGTTACAGAGGTGACAGGAAGAGTTAGTGTTTTCCATATCAAAGGATACCTTAGCAGGAAGTAGGTATTAAAAGGGTTTTGAAAATAGAGTGCAAAAATGGTTTTTATTTCAGAAATCCATATACAGTGCAACTGAATAAAGAATGAACACTTTTAGTCCAACTTACCTTTTCTGAGGTATTTTGAAGAACGATGTCAAAGTGTGATAACACTGATAAAAATGTGCAGATGCTTGTTTTAAGCTTTTCTTCATCCTAAAGCAAAGGAGAATGTAACAAGAAACAGGCATATATAAAACATTTTCATACCCTCTAAGTTTTCACAGCACATTCTGCAGATGCAGTATCAACACTATTAAAAAAGTCTATGTGTTTCCACAGCAAAATTTACTAAAATATGAAGTTCATATTATTAAGATTTCATTTTTCCTAACATATTATTTGCTTTTCACTAACAGATCAAGCAGAACGAAGTATATAGCAGTATAAATGAGCTAAAATCCAACCCAAATTCACTGTATTACCCTCCCTCCCACCCTGAAAAACCCTAAACCCAATAAAAGCCTTGGGGATTCTTTTCAGTGCTCGTGCTTTTCCATGTCATCACAAACGTGGGTATCGGATGCAGAACGAATAGCCTAGCATCAGCCTCACCCACATTCTGTACTGGAAGAAATGAGTTTCCACGCTTCTGTTCACCACTTCTCTTTATAGATATAGTTCCTAGTCATCCATTTTGCCACAGCATTGCACTGTGTGCGCAAGTTCAGCTTATTCTTCAATATGATCCTGACAATCCTTTTCAGAGTCACTGTTTTCCAGGATAGCCTCTGAAAATACAATCTGTATTCCTTTTTCATAAATCTACATGTTTTCTGCTTGCTCCATTTGTTTGAACGGGCCCACTATGATTCAGTGCATTTGTTATCAGCATGAGACCGCTTTGATCCAATAGATTATCATCTACTAAGATGACAGCAATTCCAACTGCCTGAGCTTTTGGAAGGAACCCTGAAATAGGAAAAGGTTACATCCCTTACAGCACTTTTCATCAGTTCAGATAGACATGACAAGCCATCTTTATGCACTTGAAAAAAAATGTAAGTTGTAAACTGAAAGAGAAATGTTTTTCCCCTACACAGAAAAAAGCAAACACACACATGCACACACACACACACCCCCCAAACCACAGCACACATCACTAGCAAGCAAAGTTGTCTCAGAGAAACCTTCCCTGTTCTGGGCAAAAAGGGTCTATATACAGTTTTCCAATTTTTCTATTTAATTTTAATTCTTGTCCTACTGTTTGGCTTTTAAAAAAAACTACAGTAGCAACTAGGCTGTTTGATAAGCAAGAAGACACCTACATTTAACTATTATGAGCAGTGAGCTTCAGCAGAGGCACCACTGCAAGCCGTGTCTTCTTATACACCGGAGGAGATGCAAGTACATACATTTTCTACTCAGCCCAAATGTCCAATGCTAACAAATTCAAGGATATTAATAAAGACAATTGATACAGGTCATCTCTTATAGATGATAAGAAGAACCCAAGGCATAAAAATGAAATGCTAGCAAGTCAGTTCTTCTCAGTCAACCCTTTCACGACTTTTGGGTACCGTAATTCAAACCCTGTCTCCAGTTTTGGAACCACATTACAGAACTCCACTGTGAGAGAAGTCCACATTAAAAGCTGCAAATTGAATTATGTCTTATGCAAGTCATGTTCCCACTGACAAACAAGATGCATAAGACAAAAGCTGGGTGTGGAAACCACAAGTGACTCTGCGGCATCTTCCCAAACTCAGAATCTAGGGCATCCATGTGTGTTCCTGACGGCTCTTACATTGGCGTCGGCACAGAGTACTCTGACTCACTATGCCAGCTCTACTCTGACCAGAGTAGCACATTGTAAAAGGAAATCTCTCAACTGGAAGAATTCACTTGTCTTCAGCCACTTCTATATCACAAATTTCTAAATGTCTCAGACTATAGTCCAGACTCACTTCCAAGTTAATTTTATCTGCTCAACAACCCACTGCTTCTAAAGGAAAATTGGAATACATAGAAAATAACTTATAGGAATACAAACTGTACCCTTGTTGTTCAAATTACTCTTCAAGTGAATGCCAAAGTTCTTACTTACATAGCTAAAGCAATCCCAGAATTTATCAAGGAATTGGGGGTATTTATGTAGACTAAAGATAACAATCCATTCTATGAAGTATTTCACAGATGCCTGATTGTTACCAAATCCAGCCTGGAAAACTTTGTCAAGGGTTCCACACAAAAAATTCTGAGAAAACAAAATCAGATAATCATTTAGTATATTGTTAAGAGTTATCTCCATGAAGAAAAAAATTCTAAATCAAAGAACGGTCTCAGCTTTATCATAATAATAGAAATATTTTTAATACTCAAATGAAAACATTTTAGAACCATCTAATTTCTTTATTATACTTTTCAAATATTTTATTATGAAGAAGCATTAGATGAAACTAAAATTTCTCAATTTTCTGAGTGTTCATAAAGTAGCAACATTTTTACTGAATGAAAAGCTTTAAATCAGAAAGCTAGCTAAAACTCTGTACTAACTATAAGAGGAACAATCTAGTCTCCTATAATTCACAAATCCAAGAACCAGTTTTCAGTGACCTCTGGAAACACATCATAAATCCGTGACTTCAGACTGAAAGAATGAAACTACACAAAACTTCTACATCAGCCGCAGAGATTGCATGCCTTTTATACCCTGCTGTACTTTAACATATGCAGTTTGCATGACACCACATTATTCTTGAAAGTAGGTATTAATTTATTTATTAATTTAAGAATTCATAGTGAAGAGCAATACCTGGTCAAGCTTTGGAAGAAGAACTAAGAGTGTCTGCCATACCCGGTTTTTAATTCTATGCTGTAAAGAGTTTGCATAGTAGCGTGTTCTAGATCTGGATACCAGTTCATCCTAAAAGCAAATTAAAAGGTTTATTACCTATTCTTCCTTTAAAATTGAATACATGGAAATATTCTTTGCTGTATTGAGAAAGCACCATCTACTGCACAGCTAGTATCAGCATTAAAGTTAGGAAAAATATTTTTATTTCATTTATTTAGAATTATATTTTGAAGCTTGTCCATGAGAAGTTTGGAAAATTGAAAAAATATACAAGTCCACTTAGTATTTTACTTAAGAGCACAAAAATGTTAGCTATTAAGACAGCAGAAGATTGAAGACTATACAGCACCTACTATATATGAACAGTTAAAGTAGTACTACATAAAATGGAGCATGAAGACTCAAGCTGTCATTTAGATACGTAAGAACTAAAGATCCTAAGTGAAGAGACGAGTATGTAAATGAAAACATTTCTACTTTAGTATCTACATTTAAAAAAATGGGTTTAGTCATGCCATCAATTACACCAGCTTGTAACTACAGCTCTAGTTTTGAGACAGAACTTGATATTCTGCAATAAGATGTTTTATGCGAGAGAAAATAGATGAGTTAAATGGTGCTTTAAAAAGATTTGACATTCATGTTCTCATACAGCTTAGATTCTTTCCCTGCGTGCTATCTTTTGGCCTTCAAAATATGTGACACACAAAACTATTTCCTTAACTTTTCAAAAAGAAAATTATTTGGTGATCCAAGTCCTATATTAATAGTAAAATGCAAGTACACTTTATTTTTACATGTTTACACTTCATGTTTAAGCAAGTAAGGAAATAACTTTTAAAGCTCACTTCTCCCACTTGACCAATCTTGCAACACAAATGTTAACTATTTTTCTCCAGTAGTTAATTGACAGGAATGAAGGACCACCCATTTCTTGTTCTTCAGACAAAAGCAGAATTCTATAGTACCAGAACGTATGGGTGATGTTCTGATAGCAGCTGTGGTAATTTACCACTGATTTTACACTACTGCCAATGCATAAGCAGCTATGATATAAATGAAAATCAGACCCCAACCCTTCTCCATTAATCCTACTTATAAAGGTCTTCTAAGGAGACAACAGTGCTCTCAATTCAAGAGGTAGCCTGCAATTGTTAAAGTGAAATATGGTGCTTCGAAATGCAGCCTAAAGGAAGATTCTTAATGGAACAATGGTTACAATTTGGGTAATGTTCCGTGAAGTTAGAAGATCCACTAAAAAGAGAAATAAACCCAAAAGACAATTTTTATTATTTTGGTTTGGCTGAATTAACTCCTGTTTCATAACAAAAAAAAAGTACACTACTGGGCAAATCTAGACGGGCTATACAGACTTTCATGTAAATACTCTTCATGTAAATACTTTGCGTTTTAATAATTGTACTAACATTACATTTATATACCAAGAGAAATGAAGTTTACTTTATCAAGCAGTTTGATGAAAATGTCTTCCATAAACGTCTTATGCAAGATTTTTGATCCATCCAACAAGCACAGAAATTTAATAGCACAAACCCGAACGTAGTGATCATCTCGATTTGTACTGTAAAATATTAATTAAAAAAATAAGTCAGACATAAAGATAATTCCTAAATTATAAAAAAGCACCAAACATCATCTTGAACAAGTTGTCTGCAGTGAGACAACATGCAAATACCGAGAACCAAAATTTTAAGGTCTGTTCATCCTTGCTGATGAAGAGAACTAGTGAGTTCCAGACAACCTGCCCCCGTTTCTATCTACAGGTCTTTAATAGCATCGAAGTGTTTAAAGTAATTTTCTACAGAAACAGCTGTATCATAAAAAGTTTTTGTAAACTGTAATCTTAAAACAACTAATTTATGCTTACAGTTTTGGTCAAATATTCTAGTACAAAACAACACTGGATTCCTATTAGTTACTCGGGGACATCTGAAATAATTAATGCCAAGAGCAGAATTAATGACATTACAGGTAACAAAGCATCACACAGCTGCAGACTGTCACAACCAGACATTTAGAAACCAAGAAGCTCTTGGGAGAAAATACAGGGGTATTGAACTAGAAGTGGTAGTAGATTTTTAGAAACTCAGGTTTTAGCAAATACTAACATTTCCCAAAGCACTATGTCAGACTGTTTCCCTGACTTTCTTCCACTGAGTAAAGGTGGGAGCGAAGCTACAAAAGAGTTCAATAATCCAGTAGCCAATGTCCCTGTTTCAAAAACTGCAGGCAGAACCTATTGCCAGTATGCAAGCTAAAAAGGCCTACAACCAATGTTAAAAAGCCAAGCTCCAAATCCAGCTGCACTGAAGCCTGAGTTTCTTAACTGTCTTGTCTACAATGACGAGGTACATATCAGCACTCGGTAAAATATCTGCCTCCTAAAAAGTATTACTTTCATGTGGTGAAACAATGAGGAAGTAGTTATTTCACTTCCATTCAGGTTAACAAATGGGATACATTTTCCTGAAAATACTTAACATTATTCTAAATTTTGTATTTGAATTATGAACGCAATGTGATGTATATCCCTTTTACCAATATTTAAGAAGGTTATGAATATACTCATAAGAAGCTGACTTCAAAAACAGCATCTTTCCTATTGTAGCATCAATCGTAATGAAGACACGACTCAGACCAAATATTGTAAGATGTATCCTCAAAATCATTACCTTTCTGTAACAACATTTGCTGCACATTTTTCTCCAAGATTTTCTATGAAGGCATGCACATCCTGAATAAGTCTTCACAGATGAAAGAAGACAAAGCAACAAAATTAGCAGAATAGCACACAAAAATTATTTCAATAATTATCTCAAAGTTTAAAAGAAAACAAAGTGCATAAAATTATAACAAATATAATCGTGAAGATTTTTTTTATACCTTTGATCTCTCCTAAATACAGTTCCAAAGACACAAGCCTCAGTGATAAGTTCACAATAATTTCCAGCATTTAAGAAAGCATTTGTCAAGGCACTTCTCTCATCAACAGTGGGAAATACCCAAGATCGACAACAATGACTAAGGACTACATTGAAGACTCCAGTCTTTGTAGTGGACATATCTATGAGCTTGAAAATTATCTGAAAAGAAGAAGACGACAAAATATTCAAAATCTAGTTTTCAGAAGTGTTAGATTTATTAGAATAACATTGCAGTGATATCTATTTTAGCAGGTCTGATCATCTTCTGCATCCTAGACCTGCTCAGGTTAATGCTGTCTTCAATCTAGTTACAATTCCCTGATTCTAAGGGCAGGCGAATGGGCAACAATTGGCCGAGTACCCATTTATGTTAACAAAAGATAGCACGGATCTTTGCTTAAACAGATACAACACCAGATGCTTTACATTAATCTCCTGTCAGCTGGAACAAATGCACCTGGGCTTACTTCAGTGAGTACAAACCTGGTGTTTTCAACCAATCCTTACCAATTTAGAAAAGAAAATTGAACATTAAACAAAATTTCTTCCACAGGTAGCCATATCACTAATTCTCTTCTTTAATAAGGATTACACTCATGTTGAAGTTCAAGTTCATATTTGAGTTAGAGTGGAAAAACATTTACTTTTTTTTTTGAGGGGGACATATTTAAGATCTATGAAACAGCTATCTAGAACTTCTCCAAAAAGGAGAAAAATAAAACAAGAAAAATGGTCCCAAAAAGGGGAAAAATAAAACAAAACAAGAAAAATGGCCCCATTTTCCTTTCCTACTCCCTTCATTAGGCTAAGTGCAAGAGTAAGCTTCAGTTACAAAGTAATTTTCTTCTAAGAAATTGCAAGCATTTGGGAGAGGACAGGGAGATTCAGAATGAACAGGTGGGGTTTTTATAAATTCCTTTTTAGACAACATCAATTAGACCTGTCCATGAGAATGGTTTTCCAGAAGGTGTGACTGCTCTTACAAGACAAAGCTTCTTCTCTTCCCCGCTCCAAAATGATACTTTTGATAACATGACAATTCTTTGACAGTAACTCTGTTTTTATAGAGAAAGTTGTTCTGAATTGCTAAGGATTAAAGCACCAAGAAGCTCATGAAGACCCTAAATTGAAATACTGGAATGCACTCTGAAGAAATGCTTTTTTTTTGGGGGGGGGGGGGGATGGGGACACGACAACACTACCCTAGAAACATTTGGTCTTTTTACAAAGAATTCAAACTTTTCTTTTAGTGCAAAGACAGGCATTGTAACTTTCCGAATAATTCCAAAATTGAACTATTGTGTTTCACCCAAGGAGAAGCAGCATGACATTTACTACACTTTTCTCAAAATCCTGGAATGCTTTTCAATTGTTTCATTAATACAGTAAAAGTCCAGCACACAAAAAATATGTTTAAGAAATTTAAGTTCTAGCACAATTAACATATGAGTAAGTCACAAAGAAAAAGGAAGAAAGCAGCAGAAGAAATGAAGCCCAAGAACACAATGCTCTAGGGCACCTCTGCGGAAGCCTTTCTGGATTTTACCATAGCAATATTCCCTCTTTTGGCTCAAAAATACCCCTTTGTTCCACCCCTTCTAACTATTATTGAAAAGACAGAGTGCACTGTGGTAGACAAAATTAAAATTATGCTTCTGTGACAAATCAGTATCAGGCAGTTCCATTTTTTCTTTCTCTTTAGCTAAAACTATATAGCCATTGCTTAAGGGGTCAATGGCAATACAGACTGCCAGGGAGCAGGATAAGAATATACATAAGTAGACACTTGCTTGGGAACTTTATCTTCATTTTCTTATGAAGGGGCAGAAGGTGGCTCGACCAGATGCCCTTTGTTGAGTATAGGAGACCTTCATTACCTCCTTGATGCCTGCTGTCATGGTATGTCCCACTGCAGACAATGGGATAGCTGTCACAGACTCGAGACTCTCAACATTGGCAAAACACACTTAACTTCAGCGTTAGTATTTTAAGCATTATGCAAAGACAGTAATTTAAGAATTTAAACAAATTAAGATCAAAGAAAAATAAAAAAACTAACTACAGCTCATCAGTTACTACCACACTGAGCATACAATTATCCGTTACAGATACTCATTAAAAGAAAAAGCTAACAGATTCCTAGAACTGAAGAGATTATTTTACCATCTTTGCATATGTATCTTATTTTGGCTTGGGTCCACATTAAGACTACAAATGCAAAGTGTTATCTACTGTTTAAAATAGATGACAGTAACATTCATTTGAAGCTTTCAAAAAGAACAAAGAAAATAAATGGAACTATATTTTAAGACACTTAAGGCTAATATGGGGATATAACAGCAATTTTAAATTGCTAGGAAGCGTCCATTTTTCTATATTTTATTAGAAAAAAAATTATTTTGGAGTGTCTGGACTGAAATTAAGCCAAGACATTTGCTATTATTTGCAGTTAGGAGCGTGACACCAAGACAGAGCTATTTATGGTAACTTCAAAGCAAAACTGCAACCCCTCCTAGTATGATTTCTGCGCTAAGTGCAAAGCAGCGCCCGAGACCGTAAGTCTAAGCATAGTCTAAGCATACATATATACTGGTAACTTATAATGTATTACTGCTCTGGTAAAAGTCTTGCAGTCATTGTGGACTGTTCTGCACAAACATTTAATTGATGCTCAGAGGCTAAAAAAGCAAAAAACCCAGGAAAGATTATTTAGAAAAGAAACAGTAAACAATTTTGCAGCATATAAAGCCAAGATGAACTAACATCCCAGTACTGAATGCAGTTTTAGTGACTCAAAATGAAAAAAGAACACCATGACATAAGCAAGAACTTTTGGAGTACAGGAAGCTGCATTCATCTTACAAAAAGAGTAAAAATTATTTTTTTCCTCTTCTTAACTATGGAGGCAGCTCTACCATGCAGTATTAAATTGAACTCTAAGGTGACTATGATTTTTATGTTTTCTACACCTGGACCCTCAGAGAAAAAAAAAGCGTCTTTAAAGAAGCAGTTGGCTTATTCAATAGCATCTATTAAAGTTTTAAACAGTTCTAACTCTTCATTTAAGAAAGCATTTTCATAAAGACTAAACTATTAGAAAAAGGTGTATTTCTTCCAGAATATTAATAGTTTGTGATAGTTCACATGGCAAATCCTGAACGAAATATTCAAGAGGAAGTGCATAATGCAAAAATAAAGACCAAAAAACCCATTTTGCTGAACGCAGAAGATACTGAACAGTCGGGGGGGGGAATCAAAGAAATAGTACTTTTCATTTTCTGTCTTACAAGAACTAACGATGTATTTGTTTATCCTCAATCTAATTATCAGATCTTCTGTCTTAACACTCTCAAATTAGTACCTTTTTGGAAATGAAAAATTTATTACAAAAGCTGAAGGGAAAATAAAAGGTAAAATACATTTTTAGATCCAGATAAAATTTACATTGACTTCCCAAAAAAGAATTCTTAAACTGACCTCTTTTATTTTGGCATATGCTTGACCCTTTGCACTTGCAGCAACAGCTAGAACTTCAGTGTCAAAGACAAACTGAACAAAAGCTTTTAGATTGGACCAAAATATTAGCTGTGTGTTGCTCAAAGAGGATATAATTTTCCAGGCCAAATCAAATGCTTCTATGCAGAGAGACTCCGCTGAGTCCAGAAGCTGAAAACAAAGAGAAGAAAAAGTGTTACATTTGAGAAAAAACACCCCCAAAACTATTAACATCGTGCAGTTGTTTTATCTTTCACCTTGGGAACAAGGACTTTCATGCAGTCGAACACAGGTAAAACTTGGTCTGAAGGAAGAATAGTTAGGGCTTCTAATGCAGACTCTAGAATTTTTCTTGACCTTTCAACTGTAGATAATGACATTTCTGAAGTTTCTTCATACTCTTGAGCCAGTGTTGGAAATGAATTTAAAATGAAACGAAGGCAAATCCACTGGTCATGAACATAGCGTGCAACAATTTTCCCCCATCCTTGAGATGTTGTTTCTTCGCATAAGCTGTAAGGAGAATATTGTTCTTAAATATATAGTATTAATTTATCCTGCACATTGCTACTCCACCAGGAACAGCTGAACTGTACAAACTCACTATACTTCTTCAAGACACTAAAATTTACACAGGTTCAAGGGGAGAATGGACAAGTTCATGGAAGAGAAATCTACAAATAAAGTTTTCTAAATGCAGAAGAATCAGTTCTGGGCTCAGGCAGTCTCATCAGTCAAAAATCTGGGAGAGCATTCAATGGAAACATCACTATAAGCTGACCGTCTTCTTTTGTTAACCAAGTATTTGGTTTTTGGTCCTCAGGCTTGCTCTAGGCTTCCCTTCCCCAACAGTAAATTTCCATTTCAACTCACTTGTGTACATGCTATTGCTTTGTGCAGTGTATGTATATTTAAGCTGGCATAAGGATAAGCAATGTTCAAAGCTAGCTCTGGCTTCATAGCACTAGAGGACTGTGCAAAAGAACCTTTGGTCTGATGAATTATGGCTGCCTTTAATGTTCTAAAACCTGAATGTTGAGACAAAAGAGCAACTAAATGAATAGTCTGTGTTCAGAATTCTTCAATTTTATCTTGACAAACAGTTATCAAAGAAAAGAACAGGAAAAGCCAGCATCTTGATCACTGCTCCATGCTAATCAAATTTATGCTGGAAAATTACTGAAGCTATAGCACAGACATACCTACTTTTTTCTTCAATGTAAGATGGCTTCTTTAATACTTCATTGAATTGAAAAAAGGAAATAAATCTCTTCAGAGCATCCACAGAAGGCAGAGATTCAATGTGCGCTTCAGGTTTCTGATCCATTATCTCACAAACTGCTGTAAGTGAAGCCATGCTAGCTACTCTCTTAATTTGTTCTTTAAGCTTCGGCTCCTAATTAAAACCAAATCACACATGAACAAACATGCACTGATTTCTTCTAATACAATACAAATAACCTACGGATACATTTGATAATCCTCTTATTCGTATCACCTCAGACATCATAAGGTAGCAACTCTGCATCCTTCTACTTCCTTATTTTCTTACCCTATGCATAACACAGCTTTGCTTGGCTGGGGCAGTGCAATCAATCACAAATTACAAGTGTTGAAAAAAGTATAAATCTTGCAAATTACAGTCACTTATTCATTAAGTGCAGGCGCCTAGCTCAACTATGATAGAACACTTCTATCTTGCCAGGTAGCAGCTTATATATATTGCTGGATAGCAATTAGGAAAAAAAAAAAAAAAAGATGTGGGTCCATGTAGTCAGAAACCTGGTGCAACAAGACAGCATGTCATGTTCCGAATTTCAGCTAACTGCTTCAAGAGGCTAAAAGGTCACAACACCTATTACAATTATTTTGTGTGATAAATGCATATATTCAAAGAGGCATGAAATAAACAGTCTCAATAAAAAAGTCAATAAGCATATAGTTCCCTAACAGTATTAAAAGCTCAATGTTATTTAAATACCTTCAAGTTACTTTCAGCTGTCTAGAGCACAGAAAAGATTTTTCTCGTCTGTAATTACTCAGCATTTTCTTTTTTCTTCTTAAACTGAAGATGTACTATATGTGCAACTGAAGAAATCTTAATGACAATGTAATTCCACTGAATTCAAAAGAAGTTGGTAGAGGCCCCCAGTAAACGCTCAGTTTGAATCATAAAACGTTTGCTTTGAAACTACTGGAATAAGTACACAATTCACATAACCAAAGGAGAAAAAAAAAATTGTCTTGATCTTTGTTTCCTTAGAAAAGTAAAATAACAAATCAAATACTTACAATCTTTTTAATGTGTTATTAACTGTTCTTGATCAATAATTCAACCCAGAAAATACCAAAGATTATACCGCCCAGCAAATCTTAATTTAAATCTCCTCCTTTCATAGAAGTCATTAATGTTTCTTTATCTTTTGAAAATATATCTATCTCAGATATACTAGCCTAATACGTACAACTATGGGACAATGAACGTAACTATATGAAAAAGCCAAAACAATGCTGAGTTCTATAATTTCTTTTTCTCTGTATGTTCCAGCTTGGAAATTCAACAGATCATTAATACAAAAGGCATTTTCATTTAACAGTAACTTCCTCGGTAATATTGGTTCATATTTGAGGAAAAAGCTTTTGAGTACACATAGTCCATTATTACAACTGAAGTTTTACTTTAGCTATATAGACTTCTAAAAAATGAAATATAAGAAAACAAAAGTACTAAAAATCTTAGCTACAAATATTTTACATTAGCATTACACTGCCAACCAAAGACACATGTGCTAGGGAATATATAGACACGTACATATTCACACAAACTTGTTCTTATTTTATTATATATTATCTATAATTATATTGATAGGTATAATAAAATGTATTTATAATATAAATATTTGTATATTAAGTTGTATTTATAGTATGTTATAAACATTTATATATCATCTAAATAGTATATAAGTATTAAAAATAAAATATTTATTTTAATTAATATTTACTGGCTTATTTATATTAATATTTACTGTTGTAAATAATGTTAAATTACCTCTTCACAATTTCTCTCCTGAAGATTACGAATAGACGCATTTGTCAGGGACAAAATGAAATTCTTGATAGATGGTACCTTCTTCCAGCTGACTTGCAAGCACAAGTTCACTATCTCTGGAATTAAAGCTAAGTATAGATCACAACGATCCAGATCGCCAACCTGAAAATGAGGAAACAAAGGTAAACTGAAGCATTAAGAGGAGGAAACAAACTGAAAAGAAAGAAAACTAACTAACAATGACAGCAGAAGGAAAATGACAGCAGTCATCGCAGTTGGACAACCTTTTCTTTAATTTGGGGGGGATTTTTTTGGGGGGGAGGGGGTGGTGTGTGTTTGTGTTTTTATTTTTTAAATCTTTTTATCTTACAGGTTCTTTTAGTTTTATGGTTCTGGAGTATGCCTTAGAAAAGACAGTGTGAAATTCTGAAAGAAATCTCCACTTCTTTTAATTGGTAAGTTTACTTAATTTCCCTTCCTGGGCCCAAAGGAACGCCACGTAAAACCACCTGAGTTAGCCTGAGTATCAGAAGCAGTGTTCAAGGCCAACTCAGTTACTGGAACACGGCACAGCACTGCACCCTGTACACGCTCAGCGGTGCACCTTGCACTTCTTCCCCAACTACATTTTATCTCATGGCTGTATCTTGCTTGTTTTATGGCTTTTTATTCTGCTCTTGTATTTGCAACTTTTCTCCACATATCATTGTCCTGGTTTCGGCCAGGATAGAGTTGATTTTCTTCCTAGTAGCTGGTCCAGTGCTGTGTTTTGGATTTAGGATGAGAACAACGTTGATAACACACCGATGTTTTAGTTGTTGCTAAGCAGTGCTCACACCAGTCAAGGACTTTTCAGCTTCCCATGCTCTACCGACTGAGAAGGCTGGAGGTGCACAAGGAGCTGGGAGGGGGCACAGCCAAACTGGCCAAAGGGACATTCCATACCATGTGACGTCATGCTCATACATGAACTGGGGAAAGCTGGCCGGGGGGGCCGCTGCTCGGGGACTGGCTGGGCATCGGTCGGCGGGGGGGGGGGAATTGCATTGT